AAGAAGAAGAAAGAAGAAGAAGAAAAAGGAGAAGAAAAATGAAGAAGAAGAAGAAAGAAGAAGAAAGAAGAAGAAGAAAGAAGAAGAAGAAGGAGGAGGAGGAGGAGAAGAAGAAGAAGAAGAAGAAGAAGAAGAAGAAGAAGAAGAAGAAGAAGAAGAAGAAGAAGAAGAAGAAGAAGAAGAAGAAGAAGAAGAAGAAGAAAGAAAAAGAAGAAGAAGAAGAAGAAGAAGAAGAAGGAAGAAGAAGAACAAGAAGAAGAAGAAGAAGAAGAAGAAGAAGAAGAAGAAGAAGAAGAAAGAAGAAGAAGAAGAAGAAAAGAAACAGAAGAAGAGAAACAGAAGAAGAAGAAACAGAAGAAGAAGAAACAGAAGAAGAAGAAGAAGAAGAAGAAGAAGAAGAGAAGAAGAAGAAGAAGAAGAAGAAGAAGAAGAAGAAGAAGAAGAAGAAGAAGAAGAAGAAGAAGAAGAAGAAGAACAGAAAGAAGAAGAGGAAGAAGAAGAAAAAGAAGAGAGAGAAGAGAAGAAGAAGAAGAAGAAGAAGAAGAAGAAGAAGAAGAAGAAGAAGAAAGAAAAAGAAGAAGAAGAAGAAGAAGAAGAAGAAGAAGAAGAAGAAGAAGAAGAAGAAGAAGAAGAAGAAGAAGAAGAAGAAGAAGAAGAAGAAGAAGAATCATTATTCCTTCCTCAACTAAGTTTTCACCGTATTCACTCAATTACTTTCATTTCACCACTGTGTAGTCACGTATTCGATTTCCATCAACCAAAAGTGTGTAAGACGGATAGATATACAAGACAAATTGAACTAAAGGTCATATATATCCATAGCAAATATTCATTGCAGAAACCAAATAATTAATCACAACCATTGCAGCAATATTGGTTTCACGAAAACCAACAGGCGCCTTGGTTTGACAAGGGCGGATAATACCGTTTTTGATGAAATCATCGGAGAGATGTAGAGACTCAGGAATATGGGGTGGGTGTAATTTAGCTCGACTAAATCGCCAAGATGGAGGAGAGAGACAAACTGATCAGGGTTTCTTAAACTAGGCGATGCTACACCGCTGGGGGAGGTCCAGGGGTTTACTGATGTCTGATTTTAGAATCGACATAATAGCACACTGGGGGATACCCATCGGTGATCCGTGTCCCTCAGCAAATGTCCTAAAGTGTAGTTGCTGTTTCCTTAGCACACTGAATATAGACACGTCGTTTTCTTCCTCTCATCCGTCCTTACTTGCGGGAACCACTCCTTATTCCTCGTTTACACATTCTTGCACATGTTATTACATCTAAACGAAACTGTTGAACACTATCTCTTTGAGTGCCCAAAACTCAACAAGACTAGAAGAATGCTGCTCCCTCCGAGACCAGACAAGTGGATCACCTTGTACGGAGGAAAAGAACAGCTTGTGAAAACATGGCATTGGGCCAGAGGGCGAAAGCTCATGCGCCGCTGGATCGATAACAACAACAACAATTAACATCTAATTTTGTGTCTTCTCTCAACATCCACTCATATACGCTCTTCAGAATGTATTCCTAGTCCAGCACGAGTGTTCCCGTACCCTTCGCTTTTGTAGCCAGCAGATCCGCTCTTTCATTCTCTCGCACACCTGCATACCCGGACATTATTTCCACGTGATTAAATGCAATGTTGCGTACTGATGCTTTGGTATCCACTCATGTCACATTTGTCCATTAAAAACCTTTCGAAGTAGCGATTGAGAATGAGACACAATAATTCGCCATTAACTGTGTTTTCTACTATCCAGATCAGAGCTGCAGCGACTGCCTCAACCTCCATTCTCATACTTAAAGTTGTAGATACTGGTTTGTAGTAGTGTCGTGTGTAACCGGGACATTTAGAAATTAAATGACACATGAAACATGACAGAACACCTTGTCAGCGATTTCCGTGGCGAAGTTAAGCTGCTTGCGTCCCTCTCTGGGGACTTCAGGTTAGATTTCGGAATCTGCTCTTGAGTGCACATGTTTCAAAGATATATATGGATCGTCGCAGGAGCTACAGAGATTCAATCTTTTGCGGGCGAATAGCTGCTATATGAAGAGACCTAGCCATGTTGGATAAAGCCGGATACAGTACAGTGAAAGTTGATGCCTTCTCAGAGACACTTCATGAAGTGATTTTGTGCATAGTTGTTTGTTTGTATTAGTTAGTTAGTTAGTTATTCCTCTTGTGCCAAAGATGGCGCATAGGGCAGAGGTCATAGCTTTCCACGTGGTCGGTTCTTTGCCAACTTGATGTAGGTCCTTGAGTGCGACTGAGACCTATGGTTGAGCTCTCCCTTGTGATGGTTCTACGGAGAGTTTTCAAAGGGCCTTCCCTGTTTATCTTTTTTGTATTACATCAATTCACCATTTATATGCAAAGCCAGCCTCTATAGATACTTTCAGCACATCGTGCCAACGCGAGATGCATTTATTTTTGTTATTTTGAAGCCCCACCCTGGCCGAGGGCCCTAAATATAGTCGGACCTTAAATCTGGCCTAACAACTGAAAGGGGTTTCCGGGACCTGTCCACGGATGATCCTCATCCGCATTGTGGCACTTTGTGTCACTGGGTGTTTATCGCTTGTGTGATGTCCTACCTACCTGATAGATACCAACATAGGCTGCAGGTCGACTTCTATGGCGACAGAAAGTGAAAGACGCATTGTCGCATTTTGAAAGAAACCAAACGCAGCGAACTATAGAGAGGAGTCGCCAGAGAGAAATTCAGCCTCATATCCCGGGAGTGTCTACGTCTTTTGTTTTCTTTTTCTTCTTCGCGTTCACTAGCTGTAAACTCTGACGGAAAGTTTTGGTTGTTCACTAACTTTTAGACTGCAGTTGTGTTCCAGAACCTGAGTGTTGCGTGTGCAGCAATTTTACATATTTGACTTATTTGTATGCAGACTGTTGGTTCCTTGCCTCTCAGGCATAAGCAATCCGACTTCGAAGAAAGCTCCCAATTAGTCGACTCTTACAATATGCTTTTGGGTAGGCAGTGGGTCTATTCTTGTTTCTCCCCACAATAGGGCCCCAGGAACGCACACGGGGAACTTCTTTTGTGTATCCTATGCGGCAGAGACTGCCCCTCCAGCATCGGACCTTACAGTCATAGTAGATGCTGTTCCCAAAACCAACGGCACATCCCAGTAGTCCCCGGGAACAGACGGATGTCATTACTATTAAATTTATGTAACGTTCTGATGAAGGCTCTATAGCCGCAACGTTCACATATCGTTTGTCAGGTTCGACTTTTCGTTTTAATTGATATCTTTGTAACTACACCGAAGGTGATCAAACTAATTACTCAGTTAATGAACGAACCAATCAACCAACTAACCACTAGCCCACAAATGAGATAATAAGAAAAGTTTTAAACCAATCAAAACAAATTCAACACATCAGCTTTTAAACTAACCATACCAGTGACCAACAAAACAATCAAATAAACAACACATCAGCTTTTAAACTAAACAAACCAGCGAGCAACAAAACTATCACATAAACAACACATCAGCTGTTACACTCACTTGACTAGCCTGCCAACAAACCAGATAAATAAACAACACGGCTTGCACACTTACCAAACTAACCAGTCAACAACACAGCAAGCTGACAAACACATTAATCAAGAAATAACACGATAAATGAAAAACAGCAAACAATCCCTTTAAACCAGCTAACCACAAGCAAATCTACCACCAACCCCACTTTCATTCATCTTCGATTTTGATGACAGCGTCATCATCATCATTAACAATAACGACAACAACAATCATCATCATCATCATCCCGTAACACTACGTGTCGTTGGGTCACTAGTTTCTGTTTACTGTCCGATCAGCTGTCTCCACCTTTGGCGGTCAGTTACAATGGACTTCATGGTTGCATGCCTGAGGCCTGTCCAGTCAGTCAGGTTCTGTAACCATGTCTTTCTTGGTCTGCCTCTTCTCTTATTTCACAACAAGAATAGCAACAACAAACACAACAACAGCATTCCTCACTATTAAAGCATTTCTAATTATTTTCAGCGAATCACTGGCTGTAAACTCCAAAGGAAAGTTCTGGTTGTTCGTTCACTTCTCAACTTTGTCTTTTTCAAGAACATGAGTTCTGCGTGCACATCCGTTCTACAAATAAAGTTAGCTTGCGTGTAGACTGTTGTTTTCTCACCTCTAAGGCACTTTCAAGAAAATGCACCCATTAGATGCTTTCTACGACATGCTTTGGTGGCCTCAGCAGGGGAAAGGGGGAGAGGAGGAGGGTGTTAAGGGGGTGGGTCGGGATGCCTCGGCCTATTACGCCACTTGAATGGTGGAGCGGAGGTTGGTAATGGTGGGGGAGGGGAAGGGTGGGTGGTTGTTAGAGCTCACAGACTTATGCTTTTGCTACTGTTACCACTAGTTCTGCTGCCGCTGCTACAGCTACTAATACTACTACTGCTGATGCTGCTGCTTCTGCTGCTACTACTACTACTACTGCTGCTACAGCTACCACTAGTGCTACTGCTGCTACTGTTACCACTAGTTCTGCTGCCGCTGCTACAGCTACTAATACTACTGCTGATGCTGCTGCTTCTGCTGCTACTACTACTACTACTACTACTGCTGCTGCTGCTGCTACAGCTACCACTAGTGCTACTGCTGCTACTGTTACCACTGCTGCTGCTACTGCTGCTGTTACAGCTACCACTAGTGCTACTGCTGCTACTGCTGCTACTGCTGCTAATACTACGATTTTTGCTGCTGCTACTGCTACCACTGCTGCTGTTACAGCTACTAGTGCTACCGCTGCTACTGCCACCACTGCTGCTGTTACTGCTGCTAATACTACGTTTTCTGCTGCTGCTACTGCTTTTTCCCACTACTACTACTGCTGCTGCTGCCACTACAAATCTTATCTCTTCTCTTTTTATTTCATGCCCAGAACCCCCACGAAGAATGTCAGCAATATACGCAAATTAATTACGAGAACTGAGTAACGTACGTACCGTGCACAAGATGTCGTACTCAAGCCTGTAATCCAGCAACAAAGAGACGATGGTGTATGGAAGATTAATCAAACAGGTGAGGAAATCCGTCACAGCCAGACTCAGAATAAAAATGGTGGACGTTCCTTTCTCTCGCTTCCGGTAGTAAATGAGAAAAGCCAATGCATTACCTGGTTACGTGATATGGAATTAGAAGAAAAAAAAGATGTTTAGAATAATCATCTATAGAACACATAAAGTAACACAAACATTAGATTATATCAGCGGTTCTAAAACTTACAAAGAGGGGGGGGGGGCGGCAACGTGGTTTCGAGGCATGCTATTCGCCTCAAGTGCTAGAGGTTTCACTGTCATTCCCCGGTAAAAGCTGGGATTTTTTTACTTGGACTTCTAGTACTTCCCCCTGGTCTCTGGGTAGTGAGATTGGCCGCAACAAGAGGACTTGTATTAAAGGGTCGCGGGATTAGGAAGTTTGAGAACCCCTGGGTGAGATGGATCAGTAGAGGTAGGGTTGTGATGGTTGAAATATTGATGTATTAAAGTAGTAATATAGATCCTTCATTCCTTGTTTTACGAAAAAAAATCGTCAGTCCAAACTGCATCTCTTAATGGGGAGCTTTTGGTTATAATTGTGACTGCGTTTATGTGCGCCATACAAAATGGCGTTACATTACTAGCCACCAAGCAGCTCTAACAAGGACACTTGCAGTGTTGATGCGATCAAAGAAAACAGACACAAGTACTGCCCCGATCGACGACGAAGTCGTCTACCAGTTGAGCCAATGGGTGACCCGGTCGTCGATGGAGTAGTATAGTTTGATGTAATTAGTAGTTGTGATGTAGTAGTAGCAGTAGAAGTAGTGATATTAATAGTATAACAATGAGAAATATAACGAGTAGTTGTGTTGCAATGGTGGTGAAAGTAAGAATACTGCAGCAGTAATAATAGTTAGATTCCGAGTAGAAGTAGTAGTAGTAGTAATATAGTAATAGCTGAAGTAGTAGTAGTAGTAGTAGTAGTAGTAGTAGCAGCATCAGCAGTAGTAGTAATAGATGTAGCAGCAGCAGCAGCAGTAGTAGATGTAGCAGCAGCAATAGTAGCAGCAGCAGTAGCAGCAGCAGCAATAGTAGCAGTAGTAGTCGTAGCAGCAGATGCAGCAATAAAAGTAGTTGTTTTTGTTGTTGTTGTTGTAGCTCTCATAGCAGTGGAAACAGTTGTATTATAAGTAGGGCTGTACGGAATATTCGCTTCCTATTTTCTTCGGGGCCGAATAGTGGGCCTAATAAATATTCTGTATTCGGCCGAATGGTTGTGGTCGGGCCGAATACGAATAGTGGTTACCTTACACCTGTTTCTGGACTGGTGGAAAATAAACATATTAAGATTTCCCACCTTGGTTCATACTGTCAAGCGTTATCTTTGTGCACTACCTACGCACCAAGTGAACGTCTGTTTAGTACCGCTGGAAATACCGTCAGTGAGACAAGAAGCTGCCTTGATGTTGACAACATGTAACGAAGGTTGTGCCGCTTTCATGGATTAACTAAGCTGCTAGTGACAATTTGCAGGTTTAGTTACTTGTTATAATACTAAGAATACTTTCATTCCTAGGTATTAGTTACTACAGACTGACTGACTGAAGGATGCAAAACATGAAATGTTTTTAAATGTTTACTATTTTGTACTAAATTTTGTGAAGTAAAATTTCAGATTTGACATTATGAATGTTTTTTTTTTTTATTTTTTAGATCTATTTAATACATTTTTCGAAAGTGGAAGAATGGCTTCAGTTTGAATAGTGGGAAGAGAGAAGTAATGGTGGTATCAAAGAAAAGAATTATTCCTAAATGTGTAATAAAAGTTAATGGTTTTATTTTGGGACAAGTTCATAATTTAAGTATCTGGGCACATGGATAAAAAAAAAAAAAAAAAAAAAGCAATCAAGAGGTTTTGAAAGAGTCAGGAGCCCGAAACAACAACTCACAGACATCAGAAGGAGACAGTTATCATTTTTCGGCCATGTTATAAGATGAGGGAAAATGGAATAAGTGGTGACCGCTGGAAAGATCTGTGGAAGGAGGGATAGAAGAAGACAACCAGAGAAGACTCTTGGCAGTCTTGTTGCATGGCATGGAGGTGTGTCAGCACACGAACTAATACATGCTGCAGGAGATCTTAGATTGTGGCGAGGCATAATCGTCCATGCCAGTCGGCAAGGCACCTGATGATGATGATTCACTATTCGTATTCGTATTCGGCCGAATAGTGAAAATCACTTTTCGGTACAGCCGTAATTATAAGTAGATATGAGAGCAGCAGCAGTAGTAGAGCCTCTTCATCTTTTGCTCGCTTGAAATAGATTATCTATGTTGTCTCTAGTATGAACTTCACTGTCTTTTGTAATTCACTTATGGTCCCGTAAAGTTTGACTTCCACCATTGACTCTCTTGGCCAGAAGTGTTGCCTTGTTATGTTGTATTTGGGACAGACTTGAAGGACATGATCTGTGGTCTCAGGTGCCAGTCCACAGGCACACATGGCTGATTCGCCAGTCTCAAATTGTATGCACATGTGGCTGCGAAGTCGACTGTGCCCTGTTTTAAGGCGTAGAATAATAACTTGCTCTGGTCTGTCCATAAAATGGTACTTGTCTTGTGCTTGTTTTGGTGACTTTCTGAATGATTTGATTATTATCTTCTTCTGTTGATAAGAGACTACTACATCAGGTTGTTCTTCTGTCGCACCTTCCTTAGCCAGTTTATCAGCTCTTTCATTTAGCAGTAGAACTAATAGCCGTAGCATTTATAGTTGTAGCAATTATTATGAAAAAAAAAAAAAAAAAAGTAAACGATCCTTTACCACGCATTTAGGCGTATAGAGCATAAAAGATTTGACCTATATTTTTATAGAGCAATCGGCACAAGATGGGTGATGTGGTCAGCTTTTACTTTCTGGGACTGCACCCGGTACCCACCCAAGGCTGGGTAGACCTGGGAGTCAAAGTGATTTTTGAAAAAAAAAAAACGGCTCCGCCAGGGAGCGATCCCACGACCTTCCGATTGGCACTCTAGCGTCTAGCCGCTCGCCACGGCGACTCCCAGCAATGGATATAGTAGTGTTATAAGCAGTAGAATCATCAGTAGTAGGGCTTCTTGAACTTGTACCCGGGTGATTTTCATCCGAATAGTGGCACTTTGTGTTACTGGGTGTTTATCACTGGTTGTGCTGCCCTTGTGGAAAGTCGCTCACTCAATTTCTCATCAGAAGGCAGATGCACTCGAACCGAAAAAAAAAAAAAAACCACACACACACTCGAACTAGTCGCCTCTTACGACATTATTGTTCGGGGAGTATTGAGTCTATTCTTTTGTCACCCAAATCCGAATTTCTCCACGAGGATGAAGATTTAAAAAAAAAAAATAAGGGAAAAAAAAGGAGAGAACAAAAACAGATGTAAATGCAAACTCCAATGATGAGTAAGTAAATTTTACGCCGCCAGGACATCACACAGAGCGACAGTCACCCGGTGATACAAAGTGCCACCATGCGGATGAGGATGACCCGTTGAGAGTTCACAAAAACCCCGTTCAGCCTAATATATGCCATACTTATGGCCCGGTTACATTCAGGGCCCCCGACAGAAGCCATGATGGGCTTTAGTTAGTTAGTTAGTTAGTTAGTTAGTTAGTTAGTTAGTTAGTTAGTTAGTTAGTTAGTTAGTTAGTTAGTTAGTTAGTTAGTTAGTTAGTTAGTTAGTTAGTTAGTTAGTTAGTTAGTTAGTTAGTTAGTTAGTTAGTTAGTTAGTTAGTTAGTTTAGTTAGTTAGTTAGTTAGTTAGTTAGTTAGTTAGTTAGTTAGTTAGTTAGTTAGTTAGTTAGTTAGTTAGTTAGTTAGTTAGTTAGTTAGTTAGTTAGTTAGTTAGTTAGTTAGTTAGTTTAGTTAGTTAGTTAGTTAGTTAGTTAGTTAGTTAGTTAGTTAGTTAGTTAGTTAGTTAGTTAGTTAGTTAGTTAGTTAGTTAGTTAGTTAGTTAGTTAGTTAGTTAGTTAGTTAGTTAGTTAGTTAGTAGTTAGTTAGTTAGTTAGTTAGTTAGTTAGTTAGTTAGTTAGTTAGTTAGTTAGTTAGTTAGTTAGTTAGTTAGTTAGTTAGTTAGTTAGTTAGTTAGTTAGTTAGTTAGTTAGTTAGTTAGTTAGTTAGTTAGTTAGTTAGTTAGTTAGTTAGTTAGTTAGTTAGTTAGTTAGTTAGTTAGTTAGTTAGTTAGTTAGTTAGTTAGTTAGTTAGTTAGTTAGTTAGTTAGTTAGTTAGTTAGTTAGTTAGTTAGTTAGTTAGTTAGTTAGTTAGTTAGTTAGTTAGTTAGTTAGTTAGTTAGTTAGTTAGTTAGTTAGTTAGTTAGTTAGTTAGTTAGTTAGTTAGTTAGTTAGTTAGTTAGTTAGTTAGTTAGTTAGTTAGTTAGTTAGTTAGTTAGTTAGTTAGTTAGTTAGTTAGTTAGTTAGTTAGTTAGTTAGTTAGTTAGTTAGTTAGTTAGTTAGTTAGTTAGTTAGTCTTTCCTCTTGTGTCGAGTGCGGCTCATAGGGCAGAGGTCATGACTCTCCATGCATGGCGGTTCGTTGCAATCCGTTGTAGGTCTTGGATGTTTGAGTGGCCCATGACCGAGCCTTCCCTGAGGATAGTTCTACGTAGGGTTTCCCTTGGTCTTCCACGAGATCTTTTCCCCTGTGGTGTCCAAATGAGGGCTTGGTAAGGAAGTCTTGATTTATCCATTCTAAGGGCGTGGCCGACATAGTTCCAGCGGCGTTTTCGTATAAAATTAGACACATACTCTTGCCTGGATTCTTGTCTTATTTGATGGACTTTAGATAAAGAAAAATTGCATCCAACATGCGGACGACTAGATATGATTATGCAACTAAAATAGATGAATTCGCAACAGGCCCGGTAAGTCGGCGCAGGATTCAGTGATTCAAAAAGAAATGCACAAGATGAAAAAAGGAGATGTTTTAGAAAACATGGAAACTAGAGGCCAGCAGGAGGTTGAGACCAGGGTAGGGACGCTCAGTTTATGTGAATGAGGCAATACAAAAGAATAAGTGATAGAATTATTGGTGGAAAAAAAAACAACCTGACACTTCGATGAGGTACAAGGTGGAAGAGAAAAAATTTTGACACATTAAGG